ATGATTTAAAGAAACAGGTGCAACATTGTTACATGATTTATATATTGCCAACCCAACTGTTAGATTATATTCCTAACACCATTTTTGTGAATCGCAGGTAATAGAATATTCAGAACAAATTCTAGAAAAGCCTTTTTTAAATCTGAATAGTTGGGCTTGGACAGACTGCATGTAGAGGACACCAGGATTTTTTTTTTAGGGTTTCACAGTATTATTCATCATTGGATTAGACTTGCCATATTATGCTTCATCCCTCATTAGAACAATCTTTATAGCATTTTGCATAAGACATGCATATGCCTTCTTTTAAGTCAAGGCATTAAACTGATTACAGGAGTGGTGCAGTGGCCTAGAGGTGGATCTCTCGCCTCACAATCAGGAGGCTGTGAATTCGATCCTAGGTAGAAACAGATATTTTTCTCTCTGGGCACAATGAGAATATATCTGCTGAGCTAATTTCCACACTGGCATCAGGAAGGGCATCCGGCTAGTAAACACTCTGCTAGCTCCATTCAGTTGCCCAGACTCTACCGTGTTAATTGTGGGATTGTGTTAAACAAAGATGATTAAACTGATATTATAGTACTGTATTGTTGTTTAGGCTTCTCTAATATAGAATCCTTCAGATAGGGTGGAATTCAGCAGATATTCTTTATGTCCTAGCTTGAGTCTAATAGATTTTACTCCCACAGATCTGAAAGATATTAGTTTGGGGAAATTATTTCCTTCTTAATGATCACAGGACTACAAATTCTCAACAGCAGTCATTTCAACTGTAGGAAATTCTTAAAACTCGAGATACCAAGACCTAAATATGTAATCAACTTATGCAAATAAAGTCTTCTACACGATTAACCTTACAAAACTGATTTCTCACTGGGATTCCATTCATTGGATCAAACATCGCTGTTTCATTTTGTCTTTGAAATAGGAGCGAAGACCCCATCCGTTTAAACCAGTGGCATGAGCTCAAAGTGTCACGCACAGCCAAAAATGGCATTTTGCAGGTTAATCAACAAACTCCAGTAGAAGGAATGGCAGAGGTAAGATCTTATCTATACAGACAGAAGTTTGGATTTTTTAAAATTAAACTGTTTGCTCTGTATGTTTTCTAAATTGATACAAAAAATAAAAGAAGCCCTTCAGTAGATTTTAATGAAATACACTGCTGCAGCTAAATAAGGCCAGTGGCTTTTTAAAAATAACTTTTTTATTTTTATAGTAATTTTATTACAGTTTAAAATTACAGCAATAAAAACTAATACAACTGAAAAAAATAGAAGAATAAAATAAATGACTGGAAGGCACAGAAAAGAAAAAAGGGAAAAATGGAGAAATAGAAAAGAAAACAAAATAAAAATAAAGAAATAATATACAAAAAATGACTTTCCACCTTAACCCAAAAAGCATAAATAATTTTAGTAATTTATCACCTCTTAAAATAAAACAAATGATCTCTTTTTCCCATATCCCATCTTTTATCTATAAACAAATCCACAAAGACTTGTCATTTCAGTCCTGATATCAGTGAAAGTTCATTAAGGAATACCAGAGATATCTCTTTTGACCTTGATCAACTAAACCAACTTTATATTCCTTCCTTTTACTTAGCAGCCAATGATCTAATCTTTAATCCATTCAAACAATGTTGTAGCTCATTTCTTTTCATCTTTTCTTTGTCTATTTTCACAAAATTTTCCAAAACTTTAACAAGCCTCTTTTGTAAATCCAGTAAAGAAAAATCATCCAAATCATTTCTGTGTTTTTTATTTGCATATCCCTTTTAATTATTAAGACATGAACCAGTTTCTTTTGTATGTCCAGTGTATCAACTTTTTTCATGTCATTCTTATAGAAATTCACTTTCAAGTCAGTCCTGATCTTGTCAGGTATAACTCGCTCCTCTACCATAACGTCATTTCAACACATAGTGACAAACTAAAATTAAAATTAATTCAAACTTAAAATTTGCTCGGTTCATTATTCAAAAAAATTCCTTCAATGTTAAATCCAATGTTAAAATACTTTACTTCATTCTGTAATTGTAAATCAAGCTTAAATGTTCTTCTCCTTGTAACATTTGTTTCCTTCTAGGTCCCTCTAATTTTTAAAATCTTGTTTTAAATTTAAAAAATAATAAAAAAGCAAGCATTTTCCTCTGGAAAAGATTCATTATAATTGATACTTTTTAAAAAAATTCTCTGGGTGCTTAGTCCTTTTGTAATTTTCTAAAATCAAAGTTTTAATCACCTTTTTGCTGTTTATAGAAAGAGAAAGTTCTTAAATTGTAGTCTTTTGCTAAAAAGTGAATTCATCTGGAGCTAAAAAAAACAAACCTTGTCGGTTCAAAGCTTCCTAACAACTAAAAATCAATTAACAAGCACTCACCATGGTTTGAGCAGTTGATTATTTCCTCATCTCCCAGAGTTTTACATCAAGCAGAGACAGCTGTCTTGTGGTATCCTTATGAATGGTTGTTGTCTGGAACACTTCTGGGCAATCTCAAGTCCACTCCTTGTCCGGAGAGGAATTATCAAAGAGTGGTCAACTTGTTGACTCTTCATTTTATTATTGTCATGGGATCTGCTTTGCATGGAGCCATCTTCAGTCTAAAATTTATTATTTTGTGTGTAGGAAAGCCAGACATGTGTCTTCAGTGTCCCATTTTCATTTTGCATTACTTTGGTATCCTAGAAGCAACCACTCTCACTCTACAGCTAGAGATATACCATATTTTTTGGAGTATAAGATGCACCTTTTTCCATCAAAAAAGAGGGTGAAAATCTGGATGCATCTTATACACTGAATACAGCATTTATGGCCTACCGAAACCCCCGCCCCCTTTGCAAAAATGGACATGCAGAGGGCTTGGGAGGCTTTCAAAGTGCTCCTGAGGGCTGGGGAGGGCAAAAAAAGCAAAAAAAAAAAAAACAACAAGCCATTTTTGCCACTCCCCGAGCCCCCAGGAGCATTCTACAAGCCTCCCAAAGCCTCTCAATGCACTTTTTTGTGTGCAAAAAATGGCCCATTTTTTGCTCATTTTTGCCCCCCGAACCCTCAGGAGCACTCTTAAGAGCCTCCCAAATCTCTGCATCTCCCCCTCTTTTTTTTGGTAAAAAACTTTTTTAAAAAAATTACCTCTTCAAAATTATGGTGCATCTTATAGTCTGAAAAATATGGTATTTTATTTCTCTTGCATTTATTTTCATGTTTGTTATTTATTGGCAGGGAGCATTCACACAGATTAAATGTAACCCTGAGATCTTCATAGGTGGTGTACCAAATTACGATGATGTGAAAAAGAACTCCGGTGTTCTGAAACCATTCTCTGGAAGTATTCAGAAGGTAACTGCTTTTCAAAACAGTGTATTCACTATTGGCTATTTACATTTTTAGGGTTAACATTAGATCCGAGTCTGTTTGTTTCGGTTGCTTTTTACACCTTTCTTAAGGGGTCCAAATCTCATAATGAGTAAGCAGAAATCAGGCCGCACTTTGTACATAGAATTATGTATAATTCAGAACTGGGCATGTACACATTTTCAGGGTGAAGAGAATGTAGGCATACTGGCTATGATTTGAGCATTTTCCAGTTTTCATTCATTTTTGATATTGCTCAATCTGCAGGCAGAGCCTCCCATAAAGCCAAAATCTACTGACAAATATACAGCTGAGAAGATAGAAAGGAGGGACATCATTTTTTAAAAAAAATATTCCCAGCCTCTGAAAATCAAATGAAATCATTTGGTTTTATTCTACACGGTCTTTCTAAAGGGAATTTTTTTATTCCTGCTCCAGGATTAGTACAGATTGTCAGTTTGGGGGTGAGAATCTGCAGAGGCTTTCGTAATACCTTCTTGATGGCAAAAAAGCACCACCATAGAAGCTTATTTTAACAGATTAACGGAGTTGGAAGGGACTTGCAGGTCATCTAATCCAACTTGCTCTGGCCAAGCAGGAGACCCTACCTCTGCCTCTACCTAGGATTGAACTCACAACCTCCTGATTGTGAGGCAAGAGCGCTACCTCTAGGCCACAGCAGCAGGAAGATCTCTTGGTCTACCTTTTAGAAACCTATGATTGCAGTCAAAAATTTCTTAATCCATTATTTCAGAAAACCCAAATCCAATCTATTGAACAATAGTTTGTTCAGTATAAATTAAGGAAATGGTGCTATATTCCCTTTTAAGCGCACCCTTCCCTGGAAATGGGGAATTAAATAAATTTTGGGGCAGGAAGATTCTGGTTTGAAATTTCTGTTGAGAAGGTTCTTTTACATCTCTAGTTTGGCTTGCAAGAACGCTTGCAAACTTCTGTCCTGCACAAACTCTTCTACAGTTCAGGGATCAAATATCTAAATAATAAACTGTTTTTAAAAAAAAAACTAAAAAAAAACCTGGAATTAAGTCAAGGCTTTTTGATTACTTAGCCCCAAAGTGCTCCTTCATGTTACATTCTTGTCTCCGAACCATTAAGGATAAACAGTGGAATCCTTTGGAAGATTGTTTTCGGGCAACTTATTAATGAAAGTAAACAGATGTTAGACTAACTTCTCCAAATACTCTTTTCTTTTTCTAGTTTTGATTGCAAAAAAAAAGGCTTAACATAAAAGATTAACTTGATGGATAATAAATAAAGTAATAGAGTAGAATCTTCAAGTAAAGCTTCTTTCTTATCTCTTAAACAAAGATAGTCTTGAATGACCGGACGATAGACACGAAGCAGGATTTCACAGCTGGCGTCAACTTAGGGAACACGGTCCATCCCTGTGTGAGTGCGCCCTGTGACAACGGCGGCTCCTGCGTTCCCAAGAAAGATGGGTATGAATGTGATTGCCCTTTGGGTTTTGAAGGGCAAAACTGCCAGAAAGGTAATATAGTGCTATAATCATAGCAATTCCATGTATATGCACTTGTCCTGAGAATGATTTTACTTCCCAACTCTTACAGGAAAATGTCAGTCATATTATTTTCTGCTGTTTAATCATATACAATATGCTTTGTGTTATGAAAAACAGAGGGCCACAGAAGAGGCACAGAAGGGTTACTAACCACTGATAGGCATTAGGTTCACAAATAGATAAAGGTTCCCCCGCACATATTTACTAGTAATTCCCGACTCTAGGGAGTGGTGCTCATCTCCGTTTCAAAACTGAAGAGCCAGCACTGCCCGGAGATATCTCTGTGGTCATGTGTCCGGCATGGCTAAACACAGAAGGCGCACAGAATACTGTTACCTTCCCAGCAAGGTGGTCTCTATTTTTCTACTTTCATTTTTATGTGCTTTCGAACTGCTAGGTTGGCAGAAGCTGGGACAAGTAATGGGAGCTTACTCCGTTATGCGGCACTAGGGATTCAAACCGCCAAACTGCCGACCTTTCTGATCAACAAGCTCAGTGTCTTAGCCACTGAACCACCACATCCCTCAGCTTCACAAATAAATTCCTGTTAAAGCTTGCCACATTATGTGATAAGTTCATTCTTTTTTTTTCATTCACTCATTTTTCAAATTTATATAGTTAATCCATCTCACAAAACAAGTGGGCAGCATACAACAAAGCTGGAAATAATAATTCACAAATAGCAACAATTATTATCATTGTTGTTGTTAGTTGCGAAGTCCTGTCCGACTCATCGCGACCCCATGGACAACCATTCCTCCAGGTCTTCCTGTCCTCTACCATCCTCTGGAGTCTATTTAAGCTCACGCCTACTGACTCCATCAAGCCACCTTGTTTATTATCATTAAAAACATTAAAAATGATAAAACACAGATAAAAAAGAAATAATACGCAATGTTAATGATAAAGGAGCCAATTCACTAGTTGATGTTTCCCTGGAGTCTACGGGCCTCATGGCTCAACCAGGTCTTGAAGAACCTTTGAAAAGTGAAGGGTAGGGTGCCAAGCTGCCTTTAGGGAATGAGGATATACCACAAGGCAGGCGCCCTAGCCAAGAAGACCTACTGTCTAGGCCCTAGATGACGTAACACGCAACATGCTCTCTTTGATGGATCTAATGGGACAGGCTGATTCAATTGGGGAGAGGTAGTTCCTCATATAAGCCACTTCCATTCCATTTAGGGATTTTGAGGATCAAAGCCAGGAGTTAATAAAGTTAATAAATCAGTGCAATTTATTGCCTCTTGTCTAACCTAAATCGGCTCCTAGATTGATTTACGGGTTGACTACGAGCATTTCTGCATTAAAAGGGGGAAATATGTTCTTGACTATCTACCAGAAATAGAGAAACTTTGTATTTCCAAGTAAATCATTGTTTTGATTTGTACCAAGCTGAATGCCTTCTCTGCCATTTTTCGCAGTGACAGACATCCAAGTAATTTTCTGTATCTACATTTGATTTGGCAGATATAGATCTGATTCATTAGCTTAGGAAATTGCAGTTGATAATTCTTAAAATAATAATAATAATCCAGAACCCCAAAGATCTGTGTTTTTTTGTTGTTCCTGACTTTGTTTTGCACATCCCCAAATTTATCGTTTTATAGGCTGGAATGCTGCCCAGAAGATTGTTTCTTTTCTGAATTTTGCACACACAGACACAGACACCCACCCGCCAATAGAACTGTGGCGTGCCATCCCCCAATTGTTTAACATGTGCCAATCTTTCTCCAATTTCAGATAAGCTGAATTTATCTCATTACAAATTCCCATGGTTATATTGTTAGTTTCCTAAACTAATACCACCCCTGAAATTCTGACAAAGCTCAGAGCTCAGGTTACTTTGAAGCTTCCTGAGCGAGAATTAAAAAGTTCAGTGCTGCCAGTACATGAGAAGGAAAAAACTTCCTCTTGTCTTATTCAGCAGGATTCAGCTCATGCCCTTAAACAAGGGGATTTATAGCCTTGTAACTTTATCCTCCTTTGTGCTAATGGCCTCGGCTGCAAAATGCAGCTTCTAATCCTTTGCGGTTCTTTGGATTTCTCGTAATTTGACAGCTAGAACAAATCCTTTCTTAGTCACACCTCAGAGACCACCAAAGAATTATTTACAAAAGTAAAGGGAAAAAGGAAGTCTGTCACTTTGGACTCAAGTGAACTGATAAACTTCTCTTTTTTAAACTGGAGGTCTTGTTGAGTTCAGTTCTCCCCCAGCAACTAAAGTGCAATGCATGCGTGCTCCAGTAAGTGGCAGTATATTTCTTCGTACCGTAATTATTTGTTCCGCTATGGAGAATACTTTTAAGAGGCTGTTTTCTCTTTCCCATTCTTCTCAATGGGACTGTCAGAATGAATGCCCGCAACTATATATTGTAGATCTACTGGGGATAGACTGTAATTTCTAAACAAATATTCTCAGAAATGTTATGTACAAGACATATTCCTGTAATGTAGGGATAGGCAAATGTTCATGGAAATATCAGCTGTCCTTGCAGCTAATGTGCAGTGTTCCTCAACCTCAACTTTTAAGGTGTACTTGTAAGGTGGATTTCAACTCTCTGAATTTCCCCAGTCAGCCATGGGAGTTGAAGTCCACACATCTTAAAGTTGGGGAGGTTGAGAAACACTGCTCTACTTGTTTGCTACTTTCTCAAACTTTAATGTTTCCCTGGTTTTTAAATGTGCTTCTAATTTTGTAAAGAAAACATGGCAAAAATGTAGAACCAGAGACCCAGCCTGAGAGATCATGTTTATGTGTAATCATAACTCTGAGCCTACCTAGACTTTTCTATACTCCAGAATCATATAGAATCAGATATTTTTTAAATCCCCCTTCCAATCAATCAATCAATCAATCAATCAATAAAATGAATGGGTGATTGTTGCATGGTGCTCGATTTGGAGGCAAATCCTCCTATCCAGAAAAAAAAAAAGAGGGAGAAAGAGAATTAATATGCTGGTGGATGTAATTCAAAGGAGGTAGAAGGAGTTGCAGGAAGAAAGCTCGTTTCAGGGGTGAAATGCTACCGGTTCAGGCGAACCGGTATTTCTAACGATCAGCTGGGCGATAATCAGCTGTGATGCGCAATTTATATGAGCTAGAATCCTCCCCCCTCCACTGTTCTACTTACCTTTGCAGACTCCGAAGGCTTCAAAATCTTTCTTT